GAGCGGGGAGCGCGGGCGCCGCTGCCGCCGGGGCGCTGAGCGGGGCTGGCCGGGCCGGGCCGTTCGTGTCCTGTGGGGCGGGCGGCGAGGACTCGGTGGGGGAGGCACCACGCTTTCAGCCCCGAGCCCTACGGCCCGGCCGATCTCCGCGCTAACGCCGCCTCTACCTCCCGCAGCCGCTCCCCGCCGGGCTCCGAGCATGAAGACCGAGGAGGCTCCCTCCTGCCTGCAGCAGGCCACCCCGGTACTGGGCTTTGGTGAGTACCTCCGCTGCCCCGGGCATGGGGCGAGTCTCTGCAGGGCCGGCGCTGTCCGGAGACGCTGAGGCGGCCGGGCCAGGGCAGCCTGGGCTTGGGGGGCGAGATCCCACCAGCAGCCCTGAGGGGCAGGTCACTGCTCTGCCTGGACTGGATGTTCCCTCCCTCCAGCCAGCTCCAACAGCTGCCCCTAAGCAAGGGAAACGCAGAGCTTTGGCTCTGGCCCTTCCAGGAGCAGGGCCAGGGACCAGGCACCCACGCAGGGCTCCTTCACACACTGTACAGCTCACCCCAAACCCGCCTTGGTCAGGATCTCCTCTGCTATTTGCATTTCCACTGTTTATTGTGTCTGCACTGCGGGCCCTGCTTGGACCTTGCAGGTGCCAACAGACAAGGCCTTGCTGTCCCTGCCTGTCCCTGGTCTCCTCTGTTGCTCGCCCCCATTGATTTTTCCCTACATGACACTGTCTGATGGGAGGACGCTTACGCCCAACCCTGTCCTTGCACAGAGCAAAGGCTCTTTTCCCCAGGAGCTGAGAGTCTACATCACACTTAGTTTTTAATCTGCCTGTTGGTTTGGGGGCAAAGGTGTGAATTCTGATCCCACCCTGGGGCATGCAGTTGTTTGTGGCTTGGTCCTGGGTGTGCGGAAACCTACCGTCTTATGGGCAGTGTCTGCCAGTCCAGGGGGGGCTTTTGCATTTAGGGCTCTGGCTAGAGAAGCTGGAGTCTTGGGCAAGTCCCTGCCAAGCCCGTTGCTTTCCTCTCCTTAGATGGTAGCTTCAGGACGGGGACTGTCTCACCCAGCCCAGTTAGGTTCTGATCTGTCCTGGGTCTCTAGGCCTCTTCTCATGCAAGTAATGACAGCTGGGTGATGCCCTATTCTTCGTGGTGCATTTCACTGTTGTATGTTGTGGACTAGTTAGGGGCTTTGTCTGTGCACACCAGCCCCAGGTGTGGGTGCAGGTCGAGGTGTAGACATCCCAGCAGGACTAAGGTACTAATCCAGTAAGATGCTGACCAAAACTGATACTGGAAGGATATGCTTGAAAACAGGCGGCCCTTCCAATGGGAGCTGCTCAATTAGATGACTGGAAATTGGCTTCTTTCCAATGAGTCTCCCACTCTGGGGACTGGAACAGGATTTTTAACCTTTCCCATGTAAGTGTGCTTCAGAGGGCTGTATCCTCACCCTCAGGGCACCCTCAGTCTCCTCCCCTTGCAGTCTTTAAGACCCTGCAGGGTCTCAAAGGGCAGAGGCTTCTTCATGTCCCCTTGCAAGTCGAGCCCTCTCTGAGGTTGCTCCATTTCTAAGAGAGGCTGGGTGTTGTAGGGGCAACTGGTGTTCCCAACACACCTTGCATCCTGCATCGAGTAATGGGATTGTTACCCTTGTGTCCTGTTTAAGTGACTGCTGGGCTCTTGGCCTTGTGCCCAACAAAGCTCCAGGTGTGAATTACTACTGGGTAATAACTCACGCCCTGGGCTCTTGGTCTGCTCACACGGCCAGTGTCAGCGAAGCACAATATAGGTTGGCAACGGGCAGGATTCTGTTGCATTCCACAAGCCGTAATCCTTGGCAACCAGCTCACTTGGTTACTTAATATAACCTAAAGTGTGTTTTTTAGCAGGGAGGGGCAAGCCGCACGGAGTTCTGTGAATCTCTCAGGCTCGCTGACCACGTTCAAGTTCACAGACCTTTGGCTTTCTGTTTTGTTTCTTTTTTCTCCCTGTTGTTTAGATCTGCCCCATTTTCAAAAGGGCTAATTCAGTTTTAAAGCGTCTCCCACCAGAATCCACATTTCTTGAGTTGAAGAGAAGCTTGTGCTTTGAGAGAGAGATTAGGTGCCCTCCACTCCACCACAGAAAGTCCTGTCGCCCCTGCAGGGCTGTTCAGCAAGTGGGCTGAGCATGGCGCTGGCTGTAAATCACGCCCTGGAAAAGTGACTGGAGAGAGGAGTGGATTGGGACTAAATGGTGATTTCTGTGGGAAGTGTGTATCTGCGGCAGAAAATGGTGATGAGTTTTATAAATCAAAAATATTGTATTAGCAGTGTTTGAATTTTTGTTGGAAAGTAGAAATTCTCTGCAGAAACAATGGCATCAATTTTTAGTTGGTTCTAGATGAGGACTGGTGGGGGAGAGCCCAGCACCCCAAGGTGCATGTGAAGAAAAAAACTGTCTGGGAGATCTGACTTTTATTTAGGTCCTTTCCTTTTTTGTGTCTGTGACAAGGTATTTAGTAGAATTCCCAGTTGCACCATGAGCACTTCTGCTATGACCTCAAGCTTATGACCACTCAGCTCTCAACCTTGTGCCTTAGCACCTGCACCACCCCAGTCCCTTTTTATTTAGGTGCCATGGTGGGACCAAGCTCCTGAAAATCCAGCTGTGATTGAGAATCTGGCATCTGCATTTAGCCATTAGTTCTTCTTCCTGCTCCATCACTCTTCCCATCTCCACCCCTGGGCAGGACAGCAGATCTTAGGGGCACTTCCTGGTTTTCAAGTTAACCCCACCTGAGTTAGCCAATTTTGGGCTAGACAGGGCTATGGTATCAGCAGCTAAAGAACTGTGCTAATTGTAGGGTGGCCATGCATGAATTCAGGGTTTGTGTGTGGAGTGGGACTCAGTTTAGGTATAACATTCAAATTTTACTCAGCAGCGTAAGAAAACCCCAGCCAGCCTCCATGTTTCCATAGTGTCCATCAGTTCATCATGAAGCAAAACAAATTTCTTCCCAGCCCAGTCCCAGTCCTGCGAGACACACCAACAACCTGATGTACTGCCCTCCACAAAATGCAAAGAAATCTCTCCCCTGCCTTCCTCTGCTTGACCCTTGCTGCTGTTTGAGTGCGTAAGCAAATGCTGCAGCTGCAGCTGAGAGCTTCCACTTCAGACAGAGGCCCCTCTTGTTTCCTGTGTCTACACCTGACCCTGATCCAGACCATTTTATCTCCAATTCCTTATCATTATCAGTTCCTGTCATTATCTGCACCTGCCTTTTGCTCCTTTTTGAATGTTTAGGACGTAAGCAGGTGCTTACTTTTAGACACCTGCTTAAATACGTCTTTGCTCAGCCAATGACACTTCAACCTGAGCCTAGAGCAGTGGTTCTCAACCTTTTTAGACTCAAGACCCCCCTTTTTAGGCTCAAGATCCCCTCCATGACTTGTGAATTGAGTGGCACACCGTTTCAAAAACAGATTTATTTCTTCCAGTACTTACCTCCTTGCAGAGGGGTCAGGTAGTGGGGGCAGGAGAAGTCTGAGTCTGCCCTTATCTACTTATCTCCTCACATTTCCTGTGGCAGCACCCCAGTGTGCCCTGGCTGAGAATCACTGGTCTAGACTAGGCTTAAGTGCTTTTAAGTGCACACCTTGCTGGGGTTATTTGACCCCAGCAGTCTTTTCTGCCCAGAGCAGGGGGGCTGGACCTGATGATCTTACAAGGTTCCTTCCACCCCTAAACTTCTGTGAATTTGTTTTCTGAACTGGGCCTTTAAAGCTGCCCTGTCCCTGCCATGCAGCATCACAGTGCCTTGCAGCAGCTCTGGTACTATCATGCTGCTGCTAGGGCCCTTACCACTCACATGCCTGACAGTAGCTGAATCCAGCAGGGCAGAAGAAATGCTGATAGCCAAACAGAGAGCCCCATGGCTGAACTCCATTTGCTTTTCTTCTAAATGTGCAAACTTCCCTGTTTTCTGAACTGCGTTGGGTGTTTTAATAAGAGAAAAGGTGCATTGAGTCAGGCAAAGGGAGAAGAAACACAGGGTGGGAGGGTTGGAATTGATGGTTAACATCTTTGATCATCCAGAAAATGAGCCCATCTGAAATCTCTGCCCCTAAAATTCCTCCCTCTGCTACGGTTTGGTCATTCAGCCTGGACTCCTCTTGGAGAGATTCTGATCTGCTGCAGTGGAGCTGCCAGGGTTCTTGTGGGAGTGCGAGCAGCAGCAAGGATAGGGGCTATTATTAACTAATTACTAGCTTGTGGCAGCACCTGCTGGGTGCTAGGAATATTCCCTGGCTGAAAGAGCTTGTGATTGCAGGTCTGGACTGTGTGGTGCTCAGGGGTCATTTGGCTTGTGGCTTAGGAGCCCAGGAAGCAGAGGGTGAGGGATTGTGACGGTGCATAACAGCAGATGTTAAATGCAAAAAACAAGTTCTCCTCTTGCCCTGTTAAAATTGTTAATTAGATAACTTCTTACTGGCTTTACAATGCACATGAATGGTCCCTGCAGGGAACCATCATCATTTGCGTAGCAGTACGGCCTACAGACCCTGCACGAGGTACACAAGCCTTGTTTCTACACAGGTCTTGTTCTCTCATAATCTCCCCAGCAGTAAGGTTGGGTGCAGTGGCATGTTTTGTTTTATCTGGGTTTTAAATGTATGTATGATGTGTGTAGTGCTGTGTCAGAAGACAGGGTCTGAAGAAAGCACCTTGCCCTATTCCCAGAGGGGAAGGAGGAATGAACTCAACCAGTGTGTGGTACTTTAGCCCTGTTACGCCTGTGTCTGCATGGGAGCTTGTATCCGTCCAACTACCTGGGTAAAACATTACGCCCCTTACCCATGTATTGCAGTGTCATAAAAACTGTGTGTGGTCCTGCTCTCCCTGAGAGGCATTCCCTGCCCAGAGGAGCCTGCAGTCCAAGTAAACAAAACCAAAAAAGGATGGGAGGGAAAGAGCCTGCCATGTGCTACATGCTGGGTTATAGCCAAGCTGGAGTACAAGTCCCCCAGGTCCCCATCCAGGGATATACCAGACTGGGCACACTGCCTCCTGTGTCTTTTACAAGATGTTCCCCCAGGGTGCCTGAAGGGATGGGGCCATTTCTGAGAGAAGTGGGGGGGAATGATCTCAGTTCCTTCTCTCCAACTGGTGCCACCCTCTGACTTCCAAGCTGCAGCATTTGGTGAAGCAGCGTCTTGGGGAGCTGAATGCTGCGGAGGGCTTGGCTCAGGTCTGGCTGCAATTTGCTGCCGGCAGAGATGCTGAGTAGCCATCCCGGCAGTCCTGCTCAGGACTGCATCAAGCAGACAGCGTGTCTGCAACATCAGCTGGTGGAGCTGGCTCAGATCCTGGCCAGGCTCAGCCCCATGTTGACTGTTGGCTACACAACAGTTTGCGGGGTGTCGCTTTGGTCTCGCAAGTGCTGACAAGAGTAACAAGCCCTGAAGGACAAAACTTGTTTTACTTCCGTAATGCGTTTCTCCTGCTTTGTGGAATAATAGCGATGCACTTATAGGCTAGTAACGTGCCAGTAGCTTAAAGAGATTCCCAGGTTTTGCCTCTACTCCCGCGGCTCTGGTTGCAGGTTTGCACTCCTTCCAGCTGTTTTTTTTTTTTTTTTTTTTTTTTT